GATAGTTGTCCTTTCTTTTCTCGGTCTAAAACCCTTTTGACGGTCCACCGGGACACTTCCACGGCGATTGAAATGTCTTTTTGCGACATTTGCGCGTGGAACAAATCACGAATACGCTGCCACTTCGTCATGGTGCAACTGTCAAACTAAGTAAATCATTTTCTTTTATACACAGCCTACTACGGTATGAGCTATAGGTTACGTGCATGCAAAGAAAACCAAGGCATTGTATGCACAGGTGAAAGGGGAACCTTATCTGTACGATGGTGCAAACATTATCACGCATATGGTACACGGTTGAGGACATAGCATCCGATCAAGCTCGAGAGAAGACAACACAAAAATTCCCATTAACACACGTGTATCATCTTCGACGTTACTTCGTGAAGCAACTTACCAACAATTTTGTCATTTCCTTTTACCGACCCGAGCGAGCTATATTGACAAAGGCCGTTCGTCATGGAAAAAAATTAAGAAGAGTATATCATCACTGCTATCTATTGCTGACATATCGTTATCGTTCGGTTCGTTGATCGCTTGTCCTTTGAAGTTATTTTCGCCCATACAAACTAGCATCATTATCATGTTTGGGAAGCTTAACTGATGATGGTGGTAGTTTTCGTGGGTTAGCTAAGAGTTTAAAAAATTGAAATTTTAATGTTTGTTTACAAAGGTTGATACGTGCTATCGAAAATACAAAGTTGAAATGGACTCTTATTTAGTATCAGAGTTCCAGATTTGCAATCTAAAGTTCATATTTGTATCAAAATATCAGTATTTCCACTACAATGGTTTGCTTATCTTTGTTATAGTGATATAGAACCGAAAATAATTCTTTCTAGATTAGGGACAGAAGATTATAAACTCAAGGCACAGATATTGTGTCTACCATATAGTTTAATGTCAGACTACAATATAAATACGTTAAGATTGGTAACATTTTTAAACTAAGTTTTAAATTATTGGACCATTTTCGGATTTAAAAATTGAATATTTATTAGGATTTAATATAAATTGGTTTATGCAATATTTTAAAGCATGAGTTTAACGTACAGAATACAGATATTACCAGTAAAATGTTGAATTTATTCACGATAAAACAATACCAATCCTTAGAGTGTCCGACTTACTCCCAGTTCCCCTGCAACAATTTGTGGTTTTTAATAAATTCACAATTCCTCTACGTCAAAAGACTATCCCATTTAAATTCAAGATATTTTAAGAATAAAGCAAAAGCTTTAAAGCGCATACAAACTTGCGGAGATTGCCGTTTTTTTTTTGTCTGTTCAGAAGTGACGAAATTATGATAGTTTCAGCATTTTTCAGTATCAGACGTTGTAGATTTGAGAGTTAATGAATAATTTGGATCTGAATAACTGTTACATGTTCTGGCTCAAACCATCAAAAGCCAATCATCATTTGACTGCTCAATGCTTCGTCTGAACCAGGTCACTTTGACGGACTAGATTTTTTTTTATTTGGCAATGAATTTATGTAATTCAATCGTGATGTTCTGTGTTCTCTTGGAATCTTTAATATAAGATGAAAGCTGCTTTTAAGTACTTGAAAAAATATCTCTTGCATCGTATGTACCCTGTGTAGCCCCCGTATATCAGTGATGGTATAATGGATTTTTGATATTTCAAGTGTTTTGCAAAGTTAGTTTAGTGTAATTAATTTTAACATAAATAATTATAAAAAAAAACTGTGATCTTGCAATCCTGAATATTGCTGTTGAAGGAAGTCTCCTGGTATATACATCTCTAAAACAAGATATTTCAATCCTTTAAATTTGTCGAACCTCTTAACGGAATCCCTTTATGTAGAGCTTTGAGTGGGTTGGTTTATTTCCTTTAAATTCCGTTGTAATTGCTTATCTTTTAACAGATGCGTGTATTTCGTCTACTACTTGCAGACTTCATCAGTGCCAAGTACTCAACACCACTAGTGCTTGGCACTGATGAAGTCAGCAGGTAGTAGACGAAATGCGCGTATCTGTCAAAAGATAAGCAATTATAACGGAATTTAAAGGAAATAAACCAACGCTCTCAAAGCTCTTCATAAGATATTCCATTTCAAGGGCACAATTTTACAATGGTCGCACCCCACGAGAGATCTGTACCCAATTATCGAATAGTTTTTTTTTTTTGCAAAACATTTGAAATTTTTAAAAATCCATTGAAACATCACTGAGATCCGGAAATTTGAATTTGGATTTTTCACAATCTTGAAATTAAAGATTCAAAATCAATCCAAAATTTATAACAAACGTATCAAACTAATCATGATAATTGTTTGGTGGATTGTTAGATGTGCATTTCTTGAGACAATAACAATTCTGATTTATTTTAGTTCTATTACAATTGTTTGGTCATACATTTCATTTTTTATCAATAATATTTGCCCTGCTCCAAAATTAACTACCCAACAGTGGATATAAATATAAAATACATGTTGCCCGGACTACTGGCCCAACCCCAACAGAGAGAACACAGTAACGCTCGAAACGATGTGTGAATTGGATGCTAATTTAGAAATTAAAACGAATGAGCTTCGCAACAATTTCATCCCCAGGCGCACAAACTAGCAATCCATTCAAGCGGAACTGGTCTTTACCCGGAATGATGGCAAGCAACGAAAAAAAAAACCCATAGCTGACATGAACAACCAAAGCCAACCGTTAGTACCATAACCACATACGGAATAGTCACTCATCAGCAAAGTACACAACGTACCTAGAACATGCAATGGCTCTCTCTTTCTCTTTCCCTGGCCAAGTGGACTTCCTGTAGCGTAGGTACCCACATTCTAAAACACCACCATCCAACGGAATGAGTAGAACATACCACTCTCCTGTTCAGAGTTTCCTGTTTTTCACAACTTTGCGTCCCTCGACAATAGTGGCTCCGCCACCACCGTAACTCCTCGAATGCTTCCCCGCGTGGCCGAAAGTGGTCATTAAATTTTCAGCTACAATTTAACTATTCAAACATATTCGCTGTAGTTTATAGTTTAGCATAAATAATTCATTACACACAAAACTTCACGAGACCCAGAAAAGCGCGCGCCAACACGAGCACACGGAGACCGAGCACGATGACGATGTCTAAAATGCACCGCACCGACCGCGACGAACCCGTTCCCAAATACCTACCTCTACCGTTGGTACGTGGAGACTGAGGAACGAAACATAGTCTCTAGGTTCTGGTGGGGAACTAAACTGCTGCAGAGCGGTGCACGGCGGAAATAATATATATGAACATGCAGCGTCTCCAACTTATACCAGGCCACCACTCCTCTGACAGTGTCTAACGTGACGCACAGGAACCATTCATACTGTGTGAACTCTCGCTCCCTGCCGTCGCTCGGTCGTCTAACAAAAATACACTCAGACAGAAATCCTGAAAAAGTGTCTCTATTGTGTGTGCATCATATTTCCAGACACGCTATGCTGCTTGTGCATGTAGCAACTACGATGAGGCCTGCAGATCCGAATCATAAATTGAATTAAATTATATCAACTTTTTCGGAGAAGCCTCTCCTCATGGAAATGAGAAAAAGCTTATCGCATACCTAAACCCATCCTACGAATGCTGCCTCGGTCTTGAATAGCCCATAAGAGTTTAGTTTAGTTTAGTGTATGTCGCTGCCGCTATTGCTTTGTGGATGCTCTTTCGAAATGTTCATTAGCAATGTTCCGTGTGGGTGCTGTTGCTACGATTTTCAGAATAAAATTTCCCAACCTTTACCGGGAGAATGTGAGCAGGCTTGTTACGCTTCATTATCCTTGCTGCCGCCAGACGAGTACAAGAATATATACAATGTTTAAACATTTAAGTATATCCACCTATGGTAAAATCTGACTCTTCTTAAACATTGATATTCCGATGAAAGTCACCGAATCATAAGAAACTTCGTACTAGCTTTGGGATAGGTAACTTTTAAATTTGTGAAACGTCTACTAATATCGACCAATTGTAGCTGCAAAAATACAAACAAGGCCATCGTACCCAATATAACTATTTTGAACAACCCTACCTGTGCTCAACGGCGCAATAACTTTGTGCACATTTTCTCTCTAATGCAAAGAATATATAAAAAAAACCTAAATAAATATAAAGACTGTTGAATCCTATTTATAACTTCTCCTTTATGTTACGCGCGTCGATTCACATGCTCCACCCCAACAGGCAAGACGACGAAATCGCCGACGACCCGCCATCCGTGCGTCGCCTCCATCAGACTGACGGCAGACTGCTGTACCGGCTTTTGCATTCCCGAATTGTATTTCTACTGGCGTCTAACGTCACATTTGCCGGAGATCACCTGTCTGTTGTATGCCAGGCAGCCTGCTCGCTTGTGTGCTTGACTTGGCGTCGCCTTCACCCGAATATTTTCCGACATGCAGCCCTGCATCCCAAATTCACCCCAACTCCCACCGTCACCTCCGCTATCGAGATCCGTACTAAAGCAAAACTCTCATTTTCACCTAATTTAACATTTTAGTTTCGTAGATGCCTCTCGGAGCTCTTGGGAGCAAGACACACAACCCCAACGATGTGCTCAAATATTTAAAACTACGAAAAGAAAATGTCAACTTTATTAAAGAATTATAATTAACAGGAATGCTCTCAATCTCTCTCTCTCTCTCATACATACACCCCGACGCCCGACTTGTATGTCGCGGCAGCCTTCTTCTAGACGTAGTTGTTGCTCATCGAAGACGACGGCGACATCAACGAATGAGAAGAAGGTCTATCCAAGTCTACACTTCTCTTCTATATGTGTGCCATCTAAAATATGCATACACTAGGAATCCTACTTTTCCTTCGTATCCAATTTAGGTAGGGAGGGATGTAGCGAAAAGTTTTCGCTCCGTTCCTCTTCAAACCCCCACTATCCATCTTTCTAGAGATTAAATGAATGCATTTCAACTCTGTAGCTCACAAAATTTTGCATTTCTCTCTCTCTCTCATCCATTGGCGGGTGAATTTTTGCAGCCTGAACCATCAACCCAACAACCACAGTATCAACCACATCCGACGCAAGCTTTCCAACCGCTAGTGTCTCAACAACAACAACAACAGCAACAGCAACAGCATCAGCCGGAAGCCATCCCACAGCACTATCAACAGCCCCAACAACAGTTCCATCAACAACAACAACAACAACAACAAAAACCACCAGCAGTAGTAGCGGACAGTCAAATTCCATTCTTCACCACACTACGCAAAGAAGCACCAATGTCGCAGGAACCGACTCCCGTCTATCAAACTGAGCCAGTTGCTGCAATTTATCAAGGTAGGTGACCTAACATGCATAGCTGGGATGTGCTTTTTTTTTAATGAGAGTGACATTACGTATCTTCTTCAACCACTTTTCGGTGAAACTTCACAGTGGATGAAGAGCAGTTTTAAAGCGGTTAAATTAAGCCGTATGAATCACAAGCTTCTTTCAAGTGCGTCTCCTTCTAGAAAATGCACGATATTTCAAGCACCCAACAGCGAGCTTTTCTCGGTAGTGAACGGAAAATACAACGGAAATGTTACTAAAAGTCAGAATATCCATCAAAGATGATTTTTTTTAAAGACTTCAGATATAATTTAACATCTTCAGGCCAATGAAGGCAATGATTTTGCAAGTTTTCTTTTTCCGATGTGGTATCTTTGAAGTCGGTTCGTTGAAATCATGACAGCGAAATTCTTCCAGACGAACGTGCAGGTTCTAGTGATAGGCGCACAATAAGAAGAAAGTGATCCCGTGCAGGTTGTAGCCAAACTTGGGTAAAACGGAGAATCGTTGCAAAACCTATCAAACATTGAGAAGTATGTATAAGAACCGCTTCTTTTTACAAACATCCAATTCAATTATATCAATTTTAGCTATAATCATGAAACGTATCACAATTGTGACGTTTCTCTTCTCGATCAAGAATTAAAAATTGCAAATTAACGAAAAGCCATAATTCAGAACCATATTTTAATATTCTAAAAAATCTCATTTTGAAATTCTCTGAATCTTATTCTGCAATTCTCTAAATGTTATTGTGCGAGCCTCTGAATTATCTTCCAGAGTTTTGTGAATCCCATACCGGTTTTGACGTAGGATTACATCTTTCGGCAACATATTAGGGGAGCAATTTCAAAAAAAACAAAGCATTACGAAAAGTGAAAAAGAAGTGTAGAAATTTTTTTTCAAATCTTCTAAATTGAACAATTTATCAATTTTCAATAATTCACTATTTAAAATTACACAAATGTTCAACTGTTGCAATGGTGATCCAAATTATCCCCGGTTGCCTGACAAAAACGCTTTCTCTAACACAGATTTCAAAATGTAATTTCGTCCGGTCTCGCGCCGAATAATGCTTATTCAATCGCGCGTGGCATCGAACATTGTCTCCAGTACCCATCGAAAGGCTGCCAGCAAGCAACGAGCTGCAGCCCACATGAGCGTCCATTGACCGAAGAAGGAGGAAGAAGCCGCACCGCTACTGATCGGATTCAGTAGCTCTTCTTGAGTCGCTGTGGGACATCTATGCAAAGTGCGTCACCCTCGTTCCATACAACATACAGCTCGCCAGCCTGATCTGTGTTGAACACCTTAATAGCTCAGCATTACTCAACCATCACGACAAAACGATCCTTTTCAGGACAACCATAATTTTTTTTAAAGATTCTGGACATTTAAAAAGGTCATCAATTGGATGTCAGTTCTCAGAAGTTTAAATCTAACGTACCATGTATTTTTAAGGCAAGTACAATTTCAAAAACCAAAGTCTGTCGCGGCATGAAAGTGGCCCAATTTTGATCCAGAGATGATGAATTTTAGTTCTTAATACGCCAATCGATAGGAAATTTTTCTATGAATCTGAAAAATTAAGACTTTATCCATTTTCAAAAGGTGATTATTGAAAATTGCATGACTGTACAACGGTTGCCATGATAATTAAAATTATCACCGATTGCTTGAGAAAACCGCTTTCCCTAACACAGATTTCAAAATCGAATTCCATCCGGTCTTGCCGAACGGTGTTTATTCAATTACCGCGTTTGGTGAGCGCTGGTGACCGGTCGTCATCAGCAGTAGCAGCGGCGCCGGTGCTGTAGTGGTAAACGTAATAACCTCTCATCCCAGCAGGCCGGGGTTCAATCCCAGTCGGCGCCGCCGGGATGTTCTGAGACATAACATCTCTGATCACACCTTCCTTCGGAAGGGAAGTTGGTCTCCGGTTCACGAGTTGATTGGTCGATAGGTAGGGTCCAGGTATGGGAGCTGCCTCCCTGGCATCGGTAGCATTGGTGCTCAGCACGGAAAACAAGATCGACGGAAAACAAATCAAGGATCAGCAGTAGCAGCAGCAGTGCTTTGGAAGCGTGACGTTGTACATTTTTCTCCAATACACAACGAAAAGTTCCCCGCAAGTAGCTAAAAATTCCGTGCGCTTTGTGCACGAAAATGCGTACACTGGAGTCGCTTTTTACGCGGTTTTTTTTTACACGGTTTTTTTTTACGCGGTTTTTTTTTACGCGGATTTCGGAATTTACGCGGTTTTTTTTTACGCGGATTCCGGAATTTACGCGGTTTTTTTTTACGCGGATTTTGGTTTTTTTTTACGCGGATTTCAGAATTTACGCGGTATATCGCTTTTTACGCGGTTTTTTCTTACACGGTCTTTTTTGACTCGGTTTTTTTTTACGCGGATTTCGGAATTTACGCGGTTTTTTTTTACGCGGATTCCGGAATTTACGCGGTTTTTTTTTACGCGGTTTTTTTTTTACGCGGGACGTATCACCCGCGTAAAAAGCGACTCCAGTGTAATTTTGTCATCAGAAAACGAGGCGTTTTGTGATGGGTAAAAGTGGTTTCCCTAACACAGTCGCCGAATATTGATACCGAGCACGTAATCCTACGTCAAATCGAGATTGCTGAATTCTATCGTGGGACTCCTATAAAATAATTTGATTCGGAAGGTGGGACTTTCTAGATCCCACACCGATATTATCTGAATCCAAAGCCGGATGGCCGGAAGCGAAAATGCTCGATAACCAGCGTATCACTATTATTGGGAGTGATCACCATCGTTTGACTAATAGCATTATCCCAGCATGGCATTACACTTCGAATAAAGAGCACTGCTGTACTTGGAGTTGCTCTCCAAATGCCAAAGAGTTCTATCAGCCCTTTGTCGAAGAACTTACGCCTTTTATTGAATATTGCCGGACAGTGGCATAGCAAATATTCCGAGTCTTTCTTTTCTATGCCACAGAAGCGACATACATCATCTTGAAATTTTACAGTCAGCTTCAAGTGATAACGGCTCGGACAATGACCTATTATAAGACCTGTAAATATGCTAAGATCTTGCTTAGAAAATTCCAGGATTTTATGGGTCACCCAAATGTTTGGATTAATGAATCGCATCGACTGCCTAGCAGTGGAAGTGTTCTTCCAGCACTTTTGAAGATTCCCATGCTTTTAGCTCCATTCTAGGTGATGCAGCCGAAAATCCACAAAAGGGCTCTGGCCCTATGAACTTATGAGAAGATCCAAGTCTTGCCAGAGCATCAGCTCTTTCATATCCGTCAATCCCGCAATGACCAGGAACCCAATATAATTGACTTGATTATGACAAGACAATTTTTGAAGTGATTGAACACACTCACAGACAAGTTTTGATGTACATGTCGCCAACTTTAAAGCATTTAGAGCAGCTTGACTGTCGGACATGATGCATATATTTGAACTCTTATACTTTCTACGCAAACATATAATAGAACACTCCAAAATTGCTTGGGTTTCAGCTTGGAACACAGTTGGCCATCTGCCCATAGGAACCAATATGTCTATCCCTTTGCCAGTTACTCCAGCTTATTGAGAGAGTTGCTAACCTTTGGAGTTTTTCTAACTTTCTCTGAGCAACACTCTCTTTTGATTTCGGCCACCAGACCAATGCACCATAAGTAATCCTGGGTTTCACAGTTGCCGAGTAAACCAAATGGATCATTTTCAGTGTCAGTCCCCACCAAATGTTCTTTTTCAAATCCATATATCATTAGTAGCTTTGTGTATTGCCTGCTCTATGTTCATGTTCCAATTTTACAATTTTAAGTTTACTATCAAGGATTACTTCACGATATTTGACAGCATTAGAAAGTTCCAAGAATGTGCCTTTCAATCATAAGGTAATATGCATTCTGTTAGTGATAATAATAAATAAATAAGCAACCGATAAAGTCTCTCACAATCTACTCCTAGCATTATAAAACATGGCTTCATGTGTGTGTCTATGTGCTTACAATCTAGTGCCAACACAGTGGCATTATAGATCAAATCTGCCTGAAATCATTTCTTATTAATGCAAGCAGCTTGAACCCGAGTATTATATGGTGACAGCTTAACCATAGCCCATTTCAAACAGCCCCGCTTCAATGTAGTATCGTTGCTAATATACACCATTAATAATGCACTGAAACTTTCACTCAAGCAGTAGTGCAATACTTGATTGACGCGTGTTTAGTAAGATTTAAAATGATTGTCTCTATTTAGCTGATAGAGCAACGAAAAGGTGATTGAACTCAGCTGAGCGTTACAAGGCGTTATTTTGAACAAACGACACCTGAAAGGGAGGTATTTTATAATTGTCGCTTAATGTACTGTGTTGAAACCAGTTCAGTTATTTTAATTAAAACTTTTTTCAACCGAAATTGTAAGTTTTTTACATTTTCACAAGAACGAAAACAACGCAGCAAAACAAAAACACGTCATTTTCGCAGCGTGGCCTACTTCGATCTCTCCTCCACTCAAACGATGATGTATCGAAAAATTCAAACATGGATTGTAAACATCCGGAATCCACCTTCAAACCATTATCATTCCGCCTGGTGACTCTACGATTCCGATTTAACTCCAACGATGTCACTCCGGGTTTTATTTATTTAAGAATTGTCCCCACATGGGAACGTGTCCCGCCAGTTGCTTGTCGCACTCAACCAAAAACAATGTCATATTCACGCGACATAACGATGCACCTGTATTGTCACGGGATCCATCGGCCAGTCCTAGTACCAAACTGAAGCCATGACCGGGTGCTTCGGTGTGCCGATGAAAAATGCTATTATCTGACGATCTCTCGTTCAAAATCGTCATATGTACCTATTCTCCAGATTCGATGACGACACTGACGACGACGATGGTATGGATCACCGGTGCGAAATAAGGACCGTTTCCATCAAAGTACACGCTAAATTTTTAGTAAGCAACTCATTTTACAACCGAAGACAAGCCACACTAATGCAACA